CCTTTACAAAGTGGAGTTTTACAATATGTATAATTTTTAGCACTGAAAAGTTCACGTTCATCCCCCATTTTCTGGTATTATAATTCACTAAGCTGAAATAAACTCCCTGAGCCCATTTTATTAGCTCTTCCCCTCCATACCCAGTGAGGCTATTGGGTGTCAACAGAACCATAGTCCCCTGACTCTCATGGTCATGTCACAGCATCTTCTTTCAGGGACTCCAGACTTTCTAGCCTATTTATCTGGTATCAAATTCATACAAGTCACCATTTGCCCCTTTCCCTGAGGATCCGTGTTCAGAAAGAATAATGATCCACCCTTTAGTATATATTTCGTAAGCCTATTTGGCCAGAAAGGGAACAAGCCACATTGCTCGCCCAGTTAATCTCACTGCAGGAAGTCTCTTGGGTGCTCTCCTCATAGGTCTTAGGCCAGGAGTTTTGAGCTATTAGTATTTTAGACTGGGGAGTTCTTGTCTTGAGGTGTGTGGTAGGGGGCTCTCTGCTCTCCTGTGCCCTCTGAGATGGTTTTTTTTTTTTTTTTTTTAGCAGTCCTGGCTTTTATTCAGAAGATCACCCTTCAGCTGAAGTGTCCAAATACCAACAAACATTAGTAAAGGTGCCCCAGTGGACACTATTCCTGTTTGAGAAGCACTGCCTTGGGTTTGCTCCAGGCTCCTGCAGAGAGCCGCTACTGGGATAGTTGCTGGTTGTGGTAGTAAGCTAGGAGGCCAACAGTGCCACCAGCCAATGAAGGAATGGGGCTCACATATATGCACTGACTGTCATGGCCCTTGGTGCAAGATGCCGAGGTGTGTACCGTACAACTCTTGGAGGGTCCCCAACATGAGTGAACCTGCCCTACCCCCCACTTAACTGTGCTCGCAGTTGGTTTTCCCTCTTTCCCTGTTGAATTTCTCCCTCCTGTCATGTAGTCACTCCAATTAAGTCCTTGCCTTCTATCCTGTTTCTCTGTGTGTGTGCATGCGCAGGGTCGAAAGTTGGGGGACATATTTTAAGACAATGACCTGCTAAATCTTGACTCGGCTCTCCAGCCTATTGAGGGTGGCCTTGGTGCTGCCCCATTTTTCTGAGACTTTGTTTTCATATCTGCGTTAATCACAGCTGCACAATACATTGCACTTCTTCCTTCCTTCCTTCCTTCCTTCCTTCCTTCCTTTTTTGGTTTTTCGAGACAGGGTTTCTCTGCAGCCTTGAAACTTGTCCTGGAACTCACTCTGTAGCCCAGGCTAGCCTCGAACTCACAGAGATCCACCTATCTCTGCCTCCCAAGTGCTGGGAATAAAGGCGTGCGCCACCATTGCCCAGCCAATACATCACATTCTTAATGGACTAAATATGATAACACAAATGGTTTACTATGCCATTTGGTTAGGGATGTTAAATAAATATTAGCTTTTTCTGGGTGTGTTGGTGCAGGCCTCTAGATTCTTCACTTCCTAGTCATCTGCTTGGAGGTAGGTAATGTTCCCCATGCCTATAAAACCTCTACCTGACAAATTTCACTTGGCCTGAATTATTCACGAGTTCCCTTGTGGTTAAGGCCTCACCTGGTTGAGGCGCTATATATATATATATGGCTGTGGGTGCGTCCATAGTTCAGTGGGAGAATACAGTTCAGTAGTCAGACTTTCAACCCTGGAGGAAATTTTACTCAGCAAATTTAAGTGCTCTCCTGGCGGTAATGACTGTTCTCTGGACACAGTAATTTAGAAGGCAGGAACTCCTGTCTTCATGGAGTTTAAAGTTTGGTGACACTCTCACAGATGAGTTCAGAAAATTCATTCGGAATTCCTAAAATGGATAGGAGTTGACAGGCAAAGGGACGGCGAATGTGCCACGAGGATGGCTCATGAAAACCTAGAGGAACGGGGGCAGAACAGAATAGCTGAGAGAGACCGACACAGAGCAAAGCTGAGACTCCTGACTCACTCTGGTACATCAGCAGCTCCACACAGCCTCGGGAAAACAGGCCTGCCAGAGTGATGTGTATGTCACAGGAAGCCAGGAGAGCCAGCAGAGGGTCACATTCCACAGAGGTAGAGGAAGCATACCACTCGAGGTCATCAGAATGTAGCAGGAAGAGGGCCCTTAAGGGGTGACTCAGAGCTCACAGGACATAGTCCAAACCCCAGTTTGCTGGCATTGGTTACGAGAGCCCCAAGCATCTCTAGGCAAGAGAAGCAGTGGCGATAGTCCTCGCGGGGTGCATCTCTGCCAGGCCCACTTCCACATCCTTGTTCTTACCCAGGCAGGAAGCCCGCTTCCACCTGGACCTCAGACTGCATCCACTGAGCCCAAAGGACACGGGGCTTCTAAAAATGTTCCTTATACCCAGTTCTGATTCCCTGTTCCACCTCAGCACCCATTTATATACACTTATTCTCTGCAGCGGTTAAAGATTCCCCAAAGGGCACCACGGCCATGATAAAAGACAAAAAAAAATGGCATGATGAGTTATCAGTATGGAAGGCAAAACCAGGAGGCTGTCAGGCAGGGCTGGAGGTTTGCCATCAGCAAGAAAAGGACCTGTAATCTGTTCATTTTCAGGCCACTGGTGATTTCTCACAAAATCTACAGCCTCAGGCTCGCCTAAAGAGCAAGGGGTAGAGAGCCTGCTGTGCAAACAAGACCTGAGTTACAATCCAAATCAATACAGTTCACACCTATAACCCCAGTGCTGTGCGTCTGTGCAGACATGGATCCTTGGAGTTCATTCATTGGCCAGCCAGCCTAGCTGAATCCATGCCCAGTGAGAAAGGGCATGATAGAGGAAGGCACCCAACACCAGCTTCTGGTTTCCATACGCACGTGTGCACACCTATGTGTATGACACACACATCCACACTCACAATCTACAATCTTCCCATGGGGTACTGATGGCTCAGTAAAAGCAGATAGAACACAGTGCAAAGGTCGGGACCCACAAAGCCCCAAGGGAAGGACACAAAGCATTTGTATTAGACTTGTTTTCCACTTGCCTTTTTAGTAAGATGAGTAGGCTATGGGCTCAAACTGTTCATTTTTACTCAATTTAAAATGTTTTTTTTTCCCCCTTGAGCACATTTACTCTGCACTGGACTGTGTTCACAAGGGCCATCTACAGATGTCAGCTTGTGGCACATGGGGAAGGGGGGTAATTAAAGCACAAAGCAGGTATTTCCCCTCACGGGTGCTTGTCCATCTCCCTGCCTGCCCAGCTCTTCTGAAGCTCCCCATCACTTTACCTGTGTCTGACACCTCTCAGCTGTGTTGACTGATGGGGACAGCCAATCTCCTCAGCCCCTGAAATGTTATTATCTTTACAGATTTAGTTATTTTTAGTTTTATGTGTATGAGTGTTTTACCTGCATGTGTTTGTGTACATGAGTGCCTGATTGCTCAAACAGGCCAAATGAGGGGACCAGATCACGTGCACGGCCAGTGCTCTTAACCACTAAGCCATCTCTCCGGCCTCTGGAACCTACGTTATCTGAAGGTGGATCTATATTACACATTACTGTCTGTACCATATAGCATTAGGATGGTGCACTGCATACAGGACATGCTAAACAAAAAACCGTGCACAGAATGTGTGTGATGAAGACCTCAAGTTCATCAGGCGGTGGCTGGAGAGGACAAGTGCAGGAGCTCATGAAGAGATAATTAGCTGTAGTTGAAAACCAAGTCGCACCAATGGACTGATAGGGCTGAAAGCCAAACTCCCCAGGTCTAATCAATAAACCACCAGCTGGTCGGCATCCATGCTGAGATAAGGAAGAGGAATGAGCTTGGTATTAACCCATAGGTAAATATTATATTACTATTAATAGGATAGATAGAATGGAGGGCATTAACTCAGACTTCAGACCTAGATGGAAATCATCACTAGAGATGAAACCATGTAGAAAGGAATTCTCAATGGTTCCCAGAGCATCCAAGTATGGATCAACACTACAAATAGGAGGAAGAGGATAGTAAGTTAACACTTGAAAGAGGGGAGATGGTGGAGAGAAATGGTAAGGTTAGGGTACCCTTGAGGGCGAGAGAAGGGAGAGCAAGGCTATGTGATGCGACCCCATTTTCCTGATGAAGTAGAAGGCATCTCCTCAGTTCTCACACTAAGGGTCTTGGGTTCACCCGGAGTGGTGGGGCTACTGAAGTCAGAATGAGTCTGCCGCTAAACAAAATGAGCAACGATTTCAGAGCACAGCCATAACTGTGCAGAGAAATTTAATTAGCAAATTAGCACTCTGCACTAACACTGGCTCAGAAGCAGATAGAAAGAAAACCAATTATGACATATCAATTACTCCTATGGGACTCCTACAAAGAACCAAACATCGAGGGGCTTAAAGACTGACAGAACATTCTGGAGGCTCAAAATCCAGTCATGGTAGGGCTGAGCCATCTAAAGCCTCCAGGGGAAACTCCTCCCTTCCTCCTCCATGAGGAGGCTGGTGGGCCTCCGAGCGGTGGGCCCATGAGCTCATCGCTGGTCCACTTACACCCTACCTGCTTCCATGGGGCCTTCCTTCGGCACTACGCTTGTCTCTGTATCACACTCCCCTTAAAAGAAGACCAGTCTTCAGGGGTTAGCAATCTCATTTTAATCTGATTCCCTCCACAAAAGACCTTATTCCCAACTAAGGCTAGATTCCAAGGTACTGGGGACTAGGGCCTCAACAGATAATTTTATGAAACACAATTATGGCTGCTCCAGATGTAGGTCCATGGAAGCTAAGTGGGTCCAAATAAACAGAAAAGGAAAGACGGTAACACAGTGGTTTCTGATCTACGGGTCATGGCCACTGGGGGGAGGGGCATCTCAGCTATTCTGCATATCAGATATTTACAAATTGTGATTCATAACAGTAGCAAAATTAGTTGTGAAGTAGTAACAAAATGTAAAAAAATGGGTGGGGGTCACCACAATATGAAGAATTGCCCGGGTTGGTGGGAGGCAAGTAAGGATCCAGACCGTGAGGATCAAGTTTGGTTGAGAGCACAGACAAAAGGGCTGCAAGTGGGAGGGACAGAGCAAGTTTGGTTGAGAGCACAGACAAAAGGGCTGCAGGTGGGAGGGACAGAGCAAGCTGGCTCAACAAGGGCCATGGTATGAGATAAAAGCTGAGACAGGCACCTCGAAACCAAGACCTTGGATAGCTGGCCCCAGGTTCTCCCAGCCTGAGCTAGGAGGGAAGCCTGAGATGGGACATCCACTGCACAGGAGACACCAATAGAAGGGCAGAGGACAACTATAGCTAGAAGCCTCAGTGGTCAAGTAAGACAGGACGGCATCAGAGTTTAGGAGACGGCTGTGCGAGGTGAGCGAAGAGTTCCCAGGATGAGGACACAGCCACAGGGAATCTAAAAAGGGGACTTTGTGGGCTCCAGCTCGGGCAGTGACTCAGGGACAGGAATGTTTCCTTCTGCAAGGACTGGAACTACAATAAGGGGACCAGGGGAAGAATAATAAATAAATAAGATGCTTCAATAGCAACAGTCATTCCTTGGTTGCCACTGGATCTATCCTGAATCTATAAAGGAACGGCAGAGAAAACCCTGCCTTTGATCAACCAGAATCCAGCCCTGACTTCTGGGGATGACCCGAGTCAGTGCTGCTAGCCTGGAGGACCCTGGAGGTCAGACATGGGGGACACCGTGTGGGTTGGGGCAGCAGCAGCTGCTTAGGGGAGGTACTTAGCTTCACCTCCTTCCTTACCGCATGGGGTTAATGGCGCTACCTCACGGCAGGTCTCTGAGGACTGTAATGACTGTTATTATTACACAGTCATAGCCTGATGGATGAGGGCTAAAATGTGCTGTTCAAGACAGCAAAATTAAGGACCAGACCCCCTCTCTCCTTCCTTTTCACCAAGGATAAATTTTCTGTGATTATTTTGGTGTTCTACAGGCTTTGACAGAATACAACCTTGGATACAGATGCGCCACTGCATTAAGGGCAGCATTACACAGCAGGCGAAGTCCCTGACCCTCTCCCAGAAAGGCTCCCAGGAATATTACTCTTCCACCTTCTGACAGTCCACACTGATTCCACCCCTATGCACTCCAAGTCCCATCCTTTACTAGAAAGCTTTGTCCTAAAGTTGTCTGTGTGTACACATGCGCACACACATATACCAAAGGTTCATTTTTTATTTCTGACAATGTGTGGGAAAAAGTTAGTCTAATATGCTGAAGAAGCCGGGCCACAAGGACCTCACCCAGGGCCAAGTTTCTTCTCCAAAGTCCCCACATTCTGTAAGGGTCACCATGGATTCCTACAATCAGACACCTAGTGAGGCTGTGGTCTGGAGGCCAAGCTGGGCTTCTCCCAGAGGGAAAAGAGGAGGGCAGAGTGTGGGGGGGAAGAGCCAGCGGGATGTCTGAGCACCCAGGGCCCAATCACCAGGTTATCTGCACTAGCCAGGGGACACAAGGTCTCAGAACAGGCAGCATGGGCCACTCAGACCCCGCGCTGCAGCCTCAGCTGTATTATCTTCCATCACTCGCACCGGTTACGGGGAACTTTTCACACTGTGCCCAGGAGTCCACTGTGAGCCCTGAAAGCCCAGTAGAGATTCAGCTGGTGGTTTCGGCCCAGTCACTTGCCACTTTCTTAGTTTCTTGGCCCTCGACATCTGGCTGGGCAGACAGTGCCCTGACAGCCAGCAGCACTCTGTGGCTTTCAGGCTGTGCACGGCTTGCTGTGAAAAAGGGGAAGCTGGACAGCAGAGTGTGAGTCCCATCCTGTCAGTGCAGAATGCTGGGGTGGCCCACACAGTCCTTGAGGCAGGCCAGCGTGGGGCCTTCAGGCTGCAGTCTTCGCTGCACTCAGCGACTGGTATGCTTGCTTTGCTCTCTCCCTCTGCTCCTGCTCCCGCTGGATCAACTGCATCCGCTCTAGGTGCCACTCGCGCAGTTTCTGCTCATAAGTGGCCAGGTCCTCGGCCTCACAGGCGGGGAGTTTCTCTCTCACAAGCTGGGTGGTCAGAGTCAAAAGACCTTCTGACTCAACCCTGCCCAACTCCTGCAGTTTGGACTGAGAGGCCTGTAGGAAACAGGAAAAAAAAAAAAAAAGAAAAGATAAGGGAGCAGGTGAGAGAAAAAGAGGAAATGAGAAGCAATTAAGTCCTCTGCTAAGCAGCCACACAATCTGCTGCAGGAAAGCTGCTTGGCAGGAAGCTCCCAGGCCTCTCCTCCAGGTGCAGCTGGTTTTTCCAGCTCAGCAGTTACACAAAGTCAGGGCTGCAGACGTGTAATCACGATTACACCACCTTCTCACAAAGCACAACTCCACTGCCCGTACTCCCTGAGTGCACAGCAGAGGTGCAATCCACAGGTCCACTGGGGCCTGCCCCTAACCGAGCAGGGAGCTCCAGGTAACAGGATTCTAGGATGCTAACAAGATGGCAGAGACTTCTGAAGCCAGAGCCGGTTCATCCCTGTCTTTTTGTTTATGTGACTTCAGTCCTACTCTTGGCTTTTTTCAACAGATGGGATTCATTTCAGCAACTTCTTACGAGTGTGTGTGCAGGGCAGGCCTCCACCTGCTGGGCTCCCCTGCAGATGGCCCTAACCTCCCTCCCGCCTGCTTACAGCTCCATCTGAGATGGCAGGCCAGTTGGGTCAGCACAGTGTTCCCGCTGAAGTACTACAAAGCATTAATCTACTTAAGTGTTTCAAGATGTACATCAGCAAAGAGTGCCTTGGAGGGCCCCAGATGCAGGTTAGAGGCAGATGTCCATGTAGTGGACAGGATAAGGCCTGGCCAGCAAGAATGGTGGGAGAAGGGACGGCCCATGAGCTCCAAGGGGCAGGCAGGCCTAATTACAGAGAAGCTAGCCCCAAGACTAATGCACATCAGGTAACAGGAAGGAAAGGAAGTGTAAACTCAAAGTGATTTCTCTCTGGCATCATTTCCCAGGTTGTCTGAAGCCAAAGAGATGGCCAGGGACACAGAACAGAATGGTGAGGAGCAGAGTTTTGTCCAAAGTCAACTTCAGTTGCGGACAGGCTCCGTGTTGTCTCCCCAGGAGCCCTGTGAGGACAAAGGGAGGGCAATGGGGCTAACATGGCTGAGGTCACAGCTAGCAGGCTACAAACACTTGCGTCTGTTCTTTCCTGAATGGTCATGAGGTGTCCTGTGGAGGTACGAGGGCTGAGAAGTTAATGAAGGCACATGTCTCTATCCTTTGATGCCGACACTCAGGAACTGTTAACGAAACATGGTCAATGAGAACCCGTGGGGTGAAGGAGACTTTTTTCTTTAAGTTTTGTACGTCGGCAGGCAAAGTTAGGAGGGAAGGACTGTGTATAAATTCTCTCTTTGCTTTGTTCTCAGGGTATGATGGGAACACTATTTTTTTTTTTTTTATTCCCAGTTTCAAGTTACAGAGGAAAGAAGCTGGGCAATGACTTCCTTAAAAAAGTACCGGGAGAAACAACCGCCTACAGTATACTGGATCCCACTATGATAAGAGGAAAGGCTTCCCAGGGCTGCTTCAGAAGACACAGACTCAAGGGGGAGAGTCCAGCAACACTTCTCCCTACCCAGAGTGAAAAGGTACAGCTGGCCAGCTGGCACAGATGGAAAATTTTTCTGCTAATATAATGATTTTAAAATTCTTTATAAAAGGGGGGGGGGGGGGGGCGGTCATGGGTTTTCTTCCCTGACACTGACGGTGAGCACTTTAGGACACAGAGTTCAAAGCCAGCTTGAGCACTCAGTGCTGTTCGGGAAACCTGTTCCCATATGCGTGTGGTGTCAGGCAGTGCCTCTAATGCCCCCTGAAAGTGCAAAGCTGCCATGAGCCACAAAGGAAGCCTGAGTCTTATCGCTGCATGCTGAAAATGTGACCGATGTCTAGCTGGGTTTCCGATCGAGCACATGGGGTACAGTGGAGAGAAATGACCAGACACTTTCCACACTGAGAGAGAGTCAGGCGATTGTTAACAGGAGGATCACTGGGGATGCATGCTGCCTTACTGAACAACACTGTCACCGATTAGGGCAAACTCACAAAAATTCCACCTGTTTCTCTTAAGGCCACAGCCTGTGGGGAGCAACACAAATGCAGTTCTTGCTGTGAGTTTTGATGCCTTTGTGTGGGACCGATGCAGAGAAGCCTGTCCATCACCAGAGAAGCATGTTCATGCATGGCTGGGAGAGGCTCAACTTCTGCTCTCAATCACCTTAAATCGCTCCAGGTATTGGGGAAGCTTCGAATGTTCTGGTTCCTCAATGTCCAGCTGCTCCACCACGTCTGCTGAGCCCAAGCTACCTTCACCTTCCTGGGGCTGTGTCTTTTCCTGGGGCTGGTCTGCTGGAGATGTCACCACCTTCAGGACTCTGTCCAGCACATTGAGCTGTCAGAATGACATCATTCGTTATGGGCTTGACTTTGTGAAAGTCAGAGACAAAGAAAGAGAAAAATGGAGACTCAAGACTCAGGATGGTAACAGCCAGGGGTTATTGGAACGGCTGACCATGCATGAAGTGCTGAGTCCAATCCCCAGTGCTGCAAACAAGGAAGGAGACACAACAATTATATTCCTATACATAAGCCACACCTGTCAGAAAGCACGAGGAACTCAGTATATAACAAAAGCTACAGACATGAGCTAAGAATTATCTGTAGGAGCGAATCAGCACAATGGTAAATTAAGTATGTTTTTAATTAACCAGGTAGGGAGGCAGGAATTACATTTGATGGGCATTAAAGGACCGCCCCCACTTTCATGTCTTTCTTTGGAGTCAGTCTGGAACTGGGACAAAGGGAAAGAAAAGACCACCACAGACCACAGACAACAAAAGGCCACTCTGAATGCACATTAAAGCCGCAGGCTATAGGCACCCCTTCACCCCCAGAAGATTCCAGCTAATGGAGTAGTATAAATTAGGGATCTGTCTAATCCACAGAAGCTGTTGGCTGTGGCCAGAGACACAGGAAATTCATTCTAACGAGGGGGTTTCTGGAACTTAAATAGTAAACAACTAAAAACATGGAGGTTCTTTTATCTGGCTCTCTTGCTCCTCTACCTCCACTGTGTGGCACACCTCCTTAACCCGTGCAGGGCTTGGTCATCAGAAGTGGGAGGAGAAAGCAGCAAGGCCGCACAAGCACCTGCTTGGACACCAATTGACCTCATCAGTGTCACAGTAGAACAAAGCACCAATGCTACATTGTTTTCAATACTTTATGGACAAACTGGATATACATCACATTCTTGCTGACATATGAATACATTCCTATAAATTAGAATAAAAAGAATGCAAAGTTGGCTGAAATTAGAAGGAATTATCCCTGGTGAAGGATTTGTATGTAAGTTTGTTTTCAATTACCAACACTGAATAGAGCCATCTTCAAACACACTTAGAAGTGTCTTGGGTCTAACAGCTGGGAAAGAACGTAAAGGGTTCAGTCAGCATAAGGTGCCACAGAAGGCACTGGGCCTAGTGTTTCCTGACTGAAACGAAAGCTTAGGGTGAGGCTCAGTGTATTCAGGGTCAAGTCCACACACGAGTAGCTCCAAGGCAACCTTTCATTTTGGTAAGACAGTGTCTGGGACTCTCTGGATAGAGCAGCAGGGCCGGGTGGGAACACTACAGCTCAGTGTTCGATGTTAAAGTCCGCTATGTTTCCAGTCTGGCTATGCCTAGTGAACTCACTGTTAGGGGGTTTAGGTGACTAAGAAATGAACTTTGGCACAGGTAGGAGGACACTGAGACAGGCCATGTGAACACCTTAGACGGCTGGCAGGACCACAGGACATAGATTCGGCATCACTCATGCACCACAGTCAGTCCAATGGGAAGGAAGAAGTCTTCTCCAGCATCCATGTTCTGTGTGGCTGATGAGGACTGAGTGGCTGTTCATGTGTTTGCACGTGGACTATAGAAGACAATCTCAGGAGTTACTCTTGGGCACTTTCTGCTTTTTTCGTTTGAGATGGGGGCTCTTGGCTTGGAACCTCACCTAGTAGTCTAGGCTAGCTAGCTGGTAAGCCTCCAGCGAGCCATGTCTCCCTGCTTCCCACCCTGCAGCATGCACTGCTGTGCCTGGCATTTTAGGTTGCTCTGGGGATCTGAATTGAGGTACTTATACTTGTGAGGCAAATACCAACAGCCAGGATATTAAAGAAAATTGCTACCTAATCTTTCTAGACTGCATGAGGGATAAATCCATCAAAATTATTTAATCTTTCTCTTATGCCACCTCTAATTCCTTTTGGATGAGGGTTGGGGATGGTGAAGAGGATGGTGTTTATTGATTTGGATGGGGGTTGGGGATGGTGAAGAGGATGGTATTTATTGATTTGGATGGGGGTTGGGGATGGTGAAGAGGATGGTGTTTATTGATTTGGATGGGGGTTGGGGATGGTGAAGAGGATGGTGTTTATTGATTTGATGGGGGTTGAGGATGGTGAAGAGGATGGTATTTATTGATTTGATGGGGGTTGGGGATGGTGAAGAGGATGGTATTTATTGATTTGGATGGGGGTTGGGGATGGTGAAGAGGATGGTGTTTATTGATTTGGATGGGGGTTGGGGATGGTGAAGAGGATGGTATTTATTGATTTGGATGGGGGTTGGGGATGGTGAAGAGGATGGTGTTTATTGATTTGGATGGGGGTTGGGGATGGTGAAGAGGATGGTATTTATTGATTTGGATGGGGGTTGGGGATGGTGAAGAGGATGGTGTTTATTGATTTGGATGGGGGTTGGGGATGGTGAAGAGGATGGTGTTTATTGATTTGGATGGGGGTTGGGGATGGTGAAGAGGATGGTGTTTATTGAGCTGAGTTCGAATTGCAGGAGAGGAGACAGCTTTCCTCTGACACAATGAGGTAGGAATCAACAATAATCTTATTTTCCATTGCCTTTCTGTCAGCAACATTGAAAATGTTTGTGGTTTCTTTTCATCCTTTTCAATTGAATAAATACCAATTCTACACAAATACAGGAAGCCGGGGAAGGGGAAAGACAACAGGAAAAATTCACACCACCCAGACGAACAGTGATGGCTCCATCTGAGTGGAGGGGCAGGAACATACCGCTTCTCTACACAGCTTGAGGTCTTCAGGGGAGGAGGCCACCTTCTCCATCACTTGAAGGGCTCTGTCGAGGTAGCCTGGTTTCCATAGCAGAGGCATGTTGTGGTACACAGCCTGCAGTCCACGCTGCACTTCCACCTTCCCTGTGGCCGAGAGACCCACAAAGACCCCTCAGCTGTATGTCCCCAGAATGTCTGCAGCCCGAGGCCACAGCAAACACCAGCCTAGAGGAGGAACCGCACCCTGCACATTGTAAATGCAAGCTTGGTGAACATGTTTTAATAGATCCACCAGAGCCTGTGAATCACTGGCTGAAGAATTCTGAGACTGACAGAGTTTTCTCCAGAAGACTGCCCTTAAGACAGAAGAAAATGGAAGTACTATTTTTGTTTCAAGTTCAAAACCTTTCCGAGAAAAAGAGACTTTCACAACTTTCCTACAGTGAAAACCTCGTGAACATCTGATGGCTTTCCCTGCAAGGAAATATGCGACGTGCTTCAAAAATGCCAAGTCCAGTCTATTGTCTTTATGAAAAGACAGAGGAAGAACCAACCAACCAACCAAACAAGCCAAATCTTCTTTTCATTGAGCATTATCAGTTCTTAAACCAGAGTCCTAGCAATCTTCTGGCCCACAGAGCCTGAATATCCCCTGGGCTTCTCGAACTGTCGCGCAGGCTGGGGTGGGACAGCAAGGCCTGGAAGTACAGGGCCCTTGGCACCAGGCAGCAGAGCCTTTCCACACTGGGGAGCAATGTCACCTTGAGCAGCTGGGTCTTAGTCTGCCTCTACTCATCTTTCCCGGGAAGGAGGATTTGGGAAGCTGTAGGATACCAGCAGACAAAGCTCATCAGGACATGGCTAATTTTAGACCTTTAAGGTGCTTGGGCTGGACAGGGATCACTCTGAGTGAGGCTGCAGGGCAGGACACAATGAAAGCAGAGGTGGGGCAGGGGTGTCTGATAGCACGGCTGCCTATCACAGGGGACCAGGGCCATAAACAACAGCCAAGTGTATTTTCCAAGTGAACGATCCACGCAATACTCTGAGCACGAAATGAAAGAAAATTATGCAAATCAGTATCTAAATAGGAAGCAAATAAACGAAATGTGATTTTAAACAAGAACTGCAGGCTGGGTGTGGGTCATACACCTTCAGCCACAGCACCTAGCGAGTGGAACCAGGAAGACTCAAGTTTGAGGCTACCTTGGGCTAGAGCAAGAACTTGTCTCTGAAGACCAAAAACTAAGGCTGAAGATACAGATCAGTTGGTAAAGGACGTGCTTAAATCTTGGGTTCAATTTACAGCATCACACAAATCAGGCACGTCTGTAATTCTAGCACTTAAGAGGTAGTGACTGGAGGATAAGAAGCTAGGATTCCTCCAGTGACTACACAGTGAGTTCAAAGTCAGCTGGGGATGCAGGTAACTTTGTCTCACCAACCAACCAACCAAAAACCACAACCAAACACTACAAATAAAGCACCAAAACCCTCAACTCAAACTCAACAACAAAGAGAGTGAACACTCTTGCGTTAGTCTGCTGGCCAGTCTGACAGACTGAGAGGAGACCGGTCTCTTAATCGTTTATATTAGAATCCACACTATATTTTGTTGGCAAAGCTTCGGCGGCCAAAAAGGTATTCCTCAGAGAGACGGGCAGAAGCAAGGAGCAAAGAAAAGGCACTTTCATGGAGGCCTGACTTCTGAGAGAAGAGGGGGTGGAGATATGGAATAGCATACACCCATGAATCCCTCTGAGCTGGGGATCTGCCCAGATTCCACACACCCCAGGTGCTGAGGCTGCCCTCCGCCAGACAGAGCGCCAGAACTTCCTTGCTGATCAGGAGTGAATTCTACTATAGCTAACAGAGTGAGTCTTGACAGGTCTTATGATATCTCTCGACTGTCCATAACTGTAAGGCCACACTGAGACTTATTTTGTTGTCTATACATGTAGGTTATAACTGGAACTTCACTAGCAAATTTAAACGAAGCTTTAATTATGAGCCAAAAAGTTGAGCCTCATCTTTCCACAAAGAGCAATATTAATAAGGCTCACGTAGCTTACCAAGAAGTGCATAGCCATACAGTTGGGAACTCAAGCCCACTGTGTTCTTTTGTTTTAGGCCTGGAAGCAACAGGGATGCACCAAAGTTCCTCTCCTCTTCCCACTGCAACAAAAGACAAAAGACCATTGTCTCTTAAAGCCATGGATACTTCACACATGTGAGTCTTTTGGTGACACTAAACAGCATGTATTAAGCTTATGAAAATAACACAGTTGTGTAAAAGTTATCCCAATACTAAAAATAAAAGGTATTCATATTAGAAAAAAATCAGAACAGAAATGCCCTATATATAGCTAAAAGATTCCTGGGTAGTGAAATCATGAAGTCGTTTTGGTTTTATTCTTTGTGCTCCTTGTTATTTCCCCTACTTTTGGTAATGAACCATTGCCTTTTGCAGTCAGAAAAAATAAAAGAAAATAGAGTACACTCTGGACCCTGCTGACTTGAGAGCGTCAAAGAGGCCCCACAGGCTAGCAGCTTCATACTACACTGCTCCAAAGGGAGGGCGCACACTAACAACACAGCAGTGATAAGACTTCTCCACAGTGTTAGAATAAGTACCACCATTAAGTTGCTTTTAGAAAGATTTGTGCCTCTCAAAAACAAATTAGGCAATCAGAAACACTTAGTAACTAAGTCTTTCAACCTAGGGTGTAAAATTGTACTTCAATAAAATAGAAGCCTTTTGAGACATAAAAAGAAAAAAAAGGGGGCAAAGCCACGAGCCTCACTGAGCCTGCCACACACCAGTAACAGATGTGACTGGGGCGCTCCTTGGAGAGCAGAGCTCAGAGGAGGAGGTGTGGCAACAACCCAGACAGCAGCAGCTGTGACCCTCCAGACCTAGCCCCTTCCCCCGCAGCACACATGCACAGGAGCTGGGGAAAGAGGCAGAGAAGGGAGGAGGTCTGCAGCTGCAACTGCTGCATGGAGCAAGGCTCTGTGGTATTAAAGATATCCTGCCCATGCTTCGTGAAGCACAAGCCCCAGTTCTCGAGATTTTCCTACACCTTGGAAAACAGTGGATCGTTGGGAAGGGAAACTCCACGTGGGCTTCCACAGTGCAGATAAAGAAGAGCTGCTCACTTTCCCAGGGCAAAGAACTCTGGCTTTTGTACTAGTGCTGGAGCATAAGCCCAGGGTCTTACACCCATTAATATACCACTAAACTACACTTCCCAAAGCCACCAATGTAATCTAGGCAAGTTTGCTTTTCCCACTGAGAGCCTGAAAAGTGGGTCCAGTTCAGGATAAATAAGAAGCCTGAAAACACTTTCTTACACTTATTTTTCAATTTAATTTTGTTTTTAAGGAAAGTTTCACTATGTAGTTCTGGCTAGCCTGGAACTTGCTACTATGCAGATCAGGCTGACTCAAATACTTGTTTTAGAATATCTGTGTGTGTGTGTGTGTGTGTGTGAGCACATGGCAGTGTGGGTGGGGATGGAATGGGACAACAGTGTGCATGAGTCAGCTCTCTCCTTGCACCATATGGATCTTAGGGATCCGATCAGGTCATCAGGTTTGATGCGGAGCACCCTACCCACTGAACCATCTCACCGTCTAAAGATGAGCTACGGGCTCAGGATTCCAACAGGGAACAGAAGCAAATGTACGAGCAATAGCTGTCAGTGACATGCTGGGACCAGTCAGAGTTGACAGCGTCTGAGATGAGCATCCCTAATCTGAAAATCCAAAATGTTCCGAGCTCTAAAACTCTTTAACTCTGAAATGATCCTGCAAGCAGAAAATCCATACTACATGGAATATTTCATGTGCAAATTAAACATAATGCATAAACATCACGTTTAGTGTATGTGTCTAAAGTACACATAAAATATGGATGAAGATTGGTTCTATCTCCAATGTATCTCACTACACAAATAGTCTACAATTTAAACAAATCTGAATTCCAAAACAGTTTTGGTCCTGAGCACTTAACAGCATACTCTACCGGCAGTGTGGATCGTTATGCCAGGCCTTGCCTACTGACGCAAAGCAAGCCTTCACCTTCTCCTCCTCCGCCTCCTCTATTCTCTCCACAAACTAGACACACTGAGTCACCTATGCTTGCTGTCTTATCTGCACTTCTAAATCCCCCACTAATCCTTTCCAATCTGGCCTCCTGCTGTTTCTCTAGGGAGATAAAATGGACCACCTATCGTTCTGATGTCACTAAATAAATGACCCTTCATTATTCCCACCTTATACTACCCTTTCTTCTAGGCCATTCTTTCCATGGTTTGTGTGGTCCAACACACTCCAAATTTTCCTTTACTTGTGACTGACGTGTGTATGCTGACATCTGATATACGTATGATGCTGATTTCCACCGCTTGTCTCTCTAGATCATGTGCACACATTTACATATGGATGCAAGGCTACAAGAGTGTCCTGCAGGAGATCTTGTCTTTTTCTACTTTCTACTTCCCATGTAGATTGTATTTATGTAAGTCTCTCTTAGTGTCCTCACTGTTTAAGTTCTCTGGGATTGTGGTTTGTAGGCTGGCTTTTTTTGCTTTATGTTTAAAAACCACCTATGAGTGAGTACATGTGATAATTGTCTTTCTGAGTAAATTGGGAGCACGGGGACCTTGGGAGAGGATTGAAGTGGGGAGGGGAGAGGCAGGGAGGGGAGCAAAGAAAAATGTAGAGCTCAATAAATACCAATAAAAAAATGAAAAAGAAAGAAAAAGAAAATCTCAGTTTGGATAGGAGTTGAAATGTCATCAGTCCAGGCCTCATTCTGCATACCTGAAATGTTCTGCCTTACTGAGTGTCATGACCTGTGATATAGCTTATATTCACAATTAAGTTATTAAGTATATATTGAGCCTATTTTTTTAATCAGTTGCCAAGTACTATGTATTTAGCAGTCAAACAGACATCTGCTTATAGCCTAGCCCAAGACAAAGGGCTAGGCAGATGGCTTAATGCTTAAGAGCACCTATGGCAGATCCCAGCGCCCACATGGTGCCTCACAATCATCTAAAACTCCACAGACCCCAGGCATGGTGCACATACACACATGTAGGCATGTCTCTCATGTGGGCTACTGATATTTATTTATTTATTTATTTATTTATTTATTATACAATATTCTGTCTGTATGCATGCCTGCAGGCCAGAAGAGGGCACCAGATCCCATTACAGATGGTTGTGAGCCACCATGTGGTTGCTGGGAATTGAACTCAGGACCTCTAGGAAGAGAGGCAATGCTCTTAACCTCTGAGCCATCTCTCCAGCCCCACATTTTCCTTTTTAATGTCCTTCTCTATTCTTTGGTCGAGGGGCATTTAGGTTTTTCCAGGTTCTGGCTATCACAAATAATGCTGCTATGAACATAGTTGAGCACATGTCCTAGAGGCACGATTGAGCATCCTTTGGATCTATACCCAAAAGTGGTATTGCTGGGTCTTGAGGAAGGTTGTTTCCGATTTTTTTTAAATATTTATCTATTTATTTATTTATTATGTATACAATATTCTGTCTGTATGCCTGAAGGCCAGAAGAGGGCGTCAGACCTCTTTACAGATGGTTGTGAGCCACCATGTGGTTGCTGGGAATTGAACTCAGGACCTTTGGAAGAGCAGGCAATGCTCTTAACCACTGAGCCATCTCTCCAGCTCCCCTAATTTTTTGAGAAATCGCCACACTGACATCCAAAGGGTCTGTACCAGCTCGCATTCCCACCAGCACACAGAAGTGTTCCCTTTTCCCCACAATCTCTCCAGCATAAGTTGTGATCAGTGCCAAACTGAGATTTTCAGATCTGGTACTGAAATTAAGGGAGACCACAGGGCCACAATGCCTCGCATTATCTACTGGTGCCGTGGTTATTCTGTAGAATCTCTATGCCTCAGACATTAATACAGCTAAACCCCAAGAACGCAGTGCAGGATAGCACACGTCTGCTTATTATCAGTCACTGCTTTCTCACCGCCATATTTACGTAGGGATAACAGTAAACCATAAGTAAATGTCCTACTCAAGAGCTAAGCCAAAGCTTGGCATGCTGCACATTCTGGAACACAACTGGCGTGGAGCAACTGTAGGAAACCCTGACACAAACAAAATGGTCAGTGTTAAATACGCCAGCTCAGGGTTAAAGTTGGCTGCCCACCTGCTTCTTTAGCCTGCCATGTCTGGCTGTCAGTGATTATCAATGACTCACTGCAGAATGTCTGAGGTCACCTGACTTGGCTCAAGTTTCAAACTGTGCACAAGGGGCTAGGGCTGTATCTCAGTAGTAAAATGCTCACCTAGCATGCAAGGGGCCCTGGATTCAAATCCCCCAATATCAAAACAAAAACAATCTCCCCTACCCCTGCAAATGTGTGTAAGGGCTTTTGCTTGGGAAGTATCCAGTTCCACTTTGTAGAAAACAGAACACACTGAATGAATGTTCATTTCTGACTATATATGGATATTTTTCTCCAGATTCTAAGGGCAAGGCTTCTGCCCTCCTCTATCTTCCCTGGCAGTCACTGCTCGACTTTCTTCTAGCTCTCGGTTCCATGGCAGGGCACATCACTTACTGTGAGGTCTGTCTTCTCTGCCAGGCAACGGTATAACACATAGAGGGAGAGGAACTGGGTGGACGGCACTTCAAAGGCTTCTTGCATCATGATCTCAAAAACCACAGATAAAGCATCTGGCAAGAAGATGAAGGTGAATACGAGAGGAAATTAGTTGTAGACAACATCATAAATCTCTAAATAAAAAAAAAGAAAAAAACAAACACCATCAAAGTGCAGTGCGATGGGAAAATAAGCAGAATCAAGAAGGAGGAAACATGGCCTTTGACGAAGCAGGTCCTTTCCTAGCCATTCACGCCTACTGTACATAGTGCATGCACACTGAACTGGGGCTTGTGCATCACTGACTTCAAAATGCATGTCTTGGCTCCCAGTGAGTAGCATCTTCATAATGATCAAATACTGCTTGCTCTATGTAGTAATAAGGGCGGCGTGGCTGCATTCCCAGCACCCCGGCCGCCTGCTCGGCTAGCTTATGCCCCAAAATAATTACACAGACACTGTATTCTTTTAAGCACTGCTTGGCCCATTCTCTTCTAGGCTAATTCTCACATATTAATTTAGCCCATTTCTAATCATCTGTGTATGGCACCCCAAGGTGCACTTACCGGGGAGATTCTAGCCTAGTCCATCCTGGGTCAGAGCTTCATGGCGTGTGTCTGCCCAGGAGCGGGGCATGGCGTCTCTGCTGAGGCGTCTGCTCTGGAGAGCAGAGCTGTGGAGTCTCTGACCTCACTTCCTCTTCCTCCCAGCGTTCTGTTCTATTTACTCCTCCCACCTATCCTCTAACCAATAAAATGGGCCAAGGCAGTTCCTTTATTAGCCAATGACCTTCCTCCATCATGTCCCCTTTTTCGGTTTAAACAAAAAAAAGGCGCTGCCCTTATTACTACAGCTCTATTTACTTCAACAAGATAATGCCTCATACACTGTCCATCAGCCAGAAGAGCTAAGGCAGCAGAAAGAGGCGCACCACCGGCAAAGTCACCCTGACAAGCAAGCAGGCTGCCTGCTTCTCTCCGTTAGAATGCTGTCTCACTGTGGAGGCAAGACAAGACAAAGGCTAGAGGAACTCCCAAACCTCGGGAGTTATTTCAAAGATGGAAACAGGGATAATAAAGATCAGTTTAAAAGAACTGAAAGAAGGGAGAGGAAGATGTTCCTTCATAAGCTCCTGAGTGTAACATACAGCATATGTTATTTATTCCTACATGACTGCTAGTCATAGAACAGGCCCCAGATGACTCCGGTCTTCCCATAATATTCTACAACACAGACAAAAGCTAAGAGTATCATCATTCAAACAATTTCTTTCCGTCAGTAAGTTGTGGTCAAGGTAGAGATGTTAAGGCCAACATTAAAACGTAATGCTTGCAGCACATGCCACAAGACAACAAATGTTTTCAACTGAGTGCATGTGCTCTCCTGCTCACTTTGCATACATGCATAATTACAGACGAGTTATCATGATATACAGCTGTTCATGGCTAGCTGGTTTTGCAAATGCTGCAATGGTTTTGCGGGAAGCTGAGAGGCATCAATTTCTTGCTCTTTTTGCAGGAAACTGAGACAGACAGAACAAAGCATCTAGTAAAGCTAGCAAAATAAGGACCTGGAAGAAATTTTCTTTTCTTTTTTGAGACTTGGTCTCATTATGTAGCACTGATGAGTCTGAAACTCACTATGTAGACAGGCCAGATTTGAACTCACAGAGATGGGCCAGCTTCTGCTTCCCAAGTGCTGGGATTAAAGATGTACACCACCACGCTGGGTGAGATTTTCTTTTAAACAATCACATCAATATTTTCAACAAGGAAGAAGGCCCATTTTGCTGCTGTTGTTAAGACTTATTTAGTTTTATCTTTATGTATCTGGGTGCTGGCTGCATGCTTGTCTGTGCAATCCATGTGTAGTGCCTGGGGAGGCAAGATGAGGATGCCAAGTCCTCTAGAGGTAGAGTGGCAGAGGGCTGTTGGCTGCCGTGTGGGTGTGCGCTGCACAGGAGCAAACGGTGCTATGACATGCTGAACCCACTTTCCAGGTCTAAGTCCCCACTTTTTTCCTTCTGAAATCACACATTTGTTTATTAATTTTATTACTTTACAATTTTATTGACTATTTATTTCGTGTGCGTGTGTATGTGTGGAAGGTCAGAGGACAACCTGCTGGAGTCGGTTCGCCCCTTCTACCTTGTAGATTCCAGGTCTCTAACTGAGGTCCTCAGGCTTGGCAGCAGACGCCATTACCCACTGAGCCATTTCACAGGCCTTTCTTTGTTTGTAAATCTAATTCTGCCAACTGTTCATTATAGATTCCAAAATTACACAAGAAAAATGGGATCAATTTTTACTTTATTCTTTTTATTCTGCATTTAATCAGTTTGGGAAGTGGAATCAGATTGGTCCATATAATTAACTTTTCCTTTATAAGCACTTATATACTTTGATATTTTCTATCCCATAAAAGGGTGATACTTAAAATTTCTGCATAAATAATAATAATCTTCATGTAAATTTTTCTGACTAAAAGAGTAATGTAAGGAGACATAATTAAGAAATAAAGAAGGAGAAGATGTCTGCATTTGGACCCTTCCATTTGGAGCCGAAGGTCCTGTATTAACTGGATGGTCATCTGGTTTCTTACCTTTGTAATTTTCTTTCTTTATGAAATAATCCATCAGTAAATTGAATGTAAAGTTATCTGGAAAAATTCCATACTGAACCTGTAATAAAAAGGAAAATGAAGAGAAAAAACAAACCCTCTTTAATTCAGTCTGTAACACATGCCCATCTATTATTCAGGATAAAACCTGGCCCCACTTGAGTTAAACGATGTGCCGATCATTTTGCAGCATTTGTGACGGTGAAACTGAAGCTGTGACTCATGAGGTTTGGTAACTGGAACTTCGTCAGGGTGAGAGTTGTGAGCGGGTGTCTCACAGACAACTGAAGGGGGGACAGGGCTCAGTTCTAACAGCTCACCACAGCTAGACAAAGCAGCAGCGAGGACCATCCCTTCCTCACACACAGCTGCTTCAGCGATCCTTTTCACAAGGTATGAATGAAAATGCAGAAACAGATCATAAGGAAAAAAGCATGAATTATACAGCATATGGTCTGGCTGGAGAGCTTCTAAATACACAAGAAATATGCCAACGCTTTGTTATGAACCCAGCTCCTCGGATGCTGTTTACCTGCATATTTAAGACGCCAGAATTTAGGAATAATATTTTAGGAATAAATAAAGATAATGCAGTCTCTGCTTCAGGGTGTAGTAGGGGCACATTAATGACTCAGATCTTGAAGCCTCAGGCCCACAGCCTCAGATCCAGGATGGAGCCCAGCAGTTTTAGCACGCTTCTGTGATTTTCATATACCTGTGAGCCTGACTCCCTCCTGCTTAGATCATGGCTACAATTTCATCCCCAATTCTTATTTCAATAGGATTAACCCCTCTGTTCCATAGTGTCACCAACTACCAGACACCTGGGGAACCTCTCCTGCGCCACCTACTCCCTTGGGAGGTTCCAAAGCCTCAGCTGTGAACCACCTGAACTGACTCATGACAGCAGCACAGGAAGCCTCAGGTGTGTTCAAGCGGACACAGCAGGAAGGCTGCGGCTCAGGGGCAGGCCTGGGGTTCTCAGAGAACTCACCCACAGCAGCGCGAATCGATAGCAGGTTAAAGCCAAAACACTTTAGAATCTAAGTCACTGGAGCTAGAAAGGACCTTTGAAATGAACTGGTTCAAGCCAAGTGTGGTGCCAAACACCTATAATCCCTCAGAAGGCTGAGGCAGAACTGAGGTGGGTTCTGGGGCAATCTGGGCTACAGGATAAAGTTTGTAGAACAAAGAAGAAATCATCCAGTCCAGGATTCTCAACCTTGACCAAGGGTCAAGAGAAGCTTAAAGAAAATGTTCCTAAGGAAGATGAAAAGGCAGCCACAATGATCTAGACTCATGTCTGATGGAGGAAGGTCATTGGCTAATAAAGGCACTGCCCTGGCCCGTTTAATTGGTTAGAGGATAGGTGGGAGGAGAAAACAGGACAGAACGCTGGGAGGAAGAGGAAGTGAGGTCAGAGACTCCACAGCTCTGCTCTCTCGGGAGCAGACGCCTCAGAGAGAGACACCATGCGCCGCTCCCGGCATGAAGCTCCGACCCAGGATGGACTAGGCTAGAATCTTCCCGGTAAGACCGGTTCTCACAGATTATTAGAGATGGGTTGATCGGGATGTGAGAATTAGCCTGTAAGTGCTAGAGCTAAAGGGCCAAGCAGTGCTTAAAAGAATACAGTGTCTGTGTAATTATTTTGGGGCATAAGCTAGCCATGTGGGCGGCCGGGTGTGGGGGACGCAGCCCTGCCACCCCATATTACTACACATGTCATTTCATCCACTCCCACAGGACACACAACACCAAGAAGGAACCTGTAAACTGTGGGCTCTGGGTGTTAATGCTTTGTTCTAAGTGCATCAGCCCCAGCAGATGTCCCTGGAGCAGGATGCTGGCGAGGGAAGGCTGTGTGTGTGCTGGGAGAGGCACCAGAATCTCTATGCTTTCCACTCATGGTGCTTTGAACCCAAATGCCTAGGCCAAGTAAATTAGAATATAAGGGGTAAATACAAGTATCTGTGATGCTTATTATTTTTGTATGCAGTTGTGTTTGTGGGTGCACATACAGGCAAGGGGTGCCCTGCTCAACTTTTTACATGGGTGCTAGGGATCCAAACTCAAAACATCAACTCAGCTGTCTCTCCACAGGGAAGCACCTGGAAATCTAAAAACCCTGGGTGACTCTAGTGGGCAGCTCAGGCTGTCAACCATGGATCTAACTATCCATATAACTCAACCTGGAGTTGAGAAAACCAGGAACCACAAGGAAAAAATTATTTGCCTGATGTTCCAGGTAACTGATAGAAGCTAAGAGGTTACAAGCTGGGTCTCCTGACCCTTCACCCGCTGACTTTTCCTTCTAAAGGCCTGGAAGCAACAGAAAAGAGATCCTTTGCTCTACTTTTCTAGACCTTTCTGGATCTGTTTCCACAGGGATCTTCACCTCTGAGTATAATTTCTGGAATCAAGAGCACAAGATTTCATCTCTTCCGTCCCCCGGGGCTGTCCTTTCCTTCACAAGACTGAAGCCTGAACCTTGACCATCTGTATCTAGGATCTAGTTTCGGCTCTCCTCTGACTCAGCTGTCCCCTTGAGATCTGCCGTCACTGGAGGCCAGGGGCAGCACATGCTGCTCCCGGGGCACTTTTGGAGATAGCTTAAATGGCTCTCCTGCCCTCGACTTCTTCCTTCCAGCTGGATGCATGCCATCTTCCGAATTCCTCTTGGGGCAGCACTTTGGATCTAAGTGAGCTTACAGTGACAGGGATATCTGTTTTACTTCCGTCTTCATTTATTGAATCAGTGCATCATCTCACACAAATAATATGTAGAGAATATTTTGATTTGACTAGAGCATAAGTTATAGGTGAAAATCATTTTTGCAGAGAGGAGTCAAAGATAAAATCAGCATTCCATTTTAACTCTAATTTTCAAGGTCCAATGACACTATGAAAATAATAAATTTTCATAAATATATATCCCATGTAAAATGTTGTTAATTATTCTCTATGTAATAGTCCTGACTGCCCTGGAACTCGATTTGTAGACTAGGCAGGCCTCGAACTCACAGAGATCCTCCTGAGTCCTGGGATTAAAGGCCTGCACTACCACTGCCCAGTTTAAAACTTCATGGTGTGTTTTCAATGTAAAGCTATTCATTTATTTTTATTTTTTGTGCACTGGTGCTCTGCCTGCATGTATGTCTATGTGAGGGCATCAAATACCCTGGAACTGGAGTTACAGATAGTTGTGAGCTGCCATGAGGATGCTGGGAATTGAACCTGAGTCCTCTGGAAGAGTAGCCAGTGCTCTTAACCACTGAGCCATCTCTCCAGCCCTGTTAAAATTCTTTAATGGTGCATAATAGTATTTAGGTTGGATCTGACAATAGTAACACTCTACAACTTGTGCTTATCTTGTATATACTCTTGTGCCATGAAGTCAATGAAGATTGAAGTGCTGGGTGGAGTGTAACATCAAAAGGACCTTAATTCCGGGAACTCTGGGGTTTGTGAGAAGGAAGAGCCAGCATGGGAATACCATCTTCTGAAAAAAAGTGCAAGATGGTCCTAATAAGCTAGAGATTACACTCCATCACTCCCCCAAATTTATGAAAGGGAAGCAGGCAAGAAACCCCAGGCATAAGGATGAGAACAAAGTGACCACCAGTGCAGAGTTCTGACTGGACCACATTCTGCTCTCGCCTGTCCTTCCTGACCACTGTTTGGAAAAGTGGCAGCTTTGGGTTTTCAGTTTGTTGGTTAGTTTACAACCAGTTCCAGTCTGAAGACAGCAGAAGGACCCTGAGAGGACAACTTAAGAAAAGTGGCTTCTGGTACTTCTCTTTGGTACCATCACGGGTACAAACAGCAGATCACACACACCTGGAAGCATGCAGGAACCCCTCACCTTATTAACAATGGTATACAAGGCTTTGTCCTGTGCACCGTACTTCAGACACTGTCTAATCCAGGTGTGGATGGTCCAGTCTCTCAGGTACCAACAGTTGGGACTGTGTCGAAATCTAAATAAGACACGAGAAGAGACAATACTGGTGTTATCTCTTAACATTAAAACCCAAACATCTTCCCTCCGCACGTCCTTCTACTGAAACAGTATTTGGTGCAGTCAATGTGCTCGAAAGCCATGAGAGCTGACAACTGGTAAACACTTGAAGTGAAACTCTTAACTGGAAGTCTGAAACGAAAGGCAAAATAATAAAAGAAAAATATAAACCTATTTATTTATTTGTTTGTTTTAAGATAGATAGAGTCTCTATGTAGTCCTGGCTGGTCTAGAAGTTACAGATCACCCTCTACCTCCAAAGTGTTCCAACTAAAGGTATGTGTTACCACACCCAGCTTTATTATTTACTTAATACCCCGTGCCTCAACATCTTGCTTTAATGAGATTTATGGAAATTATCTGGGGACATATGAATCACAAATACACAGCTCACAGAAGGGATTGTGAAACTGAAGTTGATAGTTTGAAAATGAAGTCAAACCGACAAAGAAAAGAAAACCAGAGCAGCACAGATCCCTGGGGGAACCAGCTTGGCGTTACACTGGCACTTCTTATATATGCAGGAATAACTGGGAGACTACTCAGTCAAGAAAGCAAACGCACAAATGAAAAGCTGACCAAGATCTCACATTCAGGTCTCTCGGGAACCACAGCCCTGCTACCTCCTTCACAGCTCCACTGTGGTCCCTCCGTTCATTCCCCCTCATGGGCCTCTGTCACAGGTGGCCTGAAATGGAGTCACTGGGAAGAACGGCTCCTGGATGATGCCCTGGTCTGAGTCCTCACACACGGCCAGAGCCTGGGCTGGACGGCACTTCTCACCTCCCCAGGGCTGTGGAGGAGGTGGGATTATCTGGGCATGCCTATTCAGACAACAGAAACCCCCACATTTTCTTTTTTTGGTTTTTTTTTTTTTTTTTGGTTTTTTTGAGACAGGGTTTCTCTGTGGTTTTGAAGCCTGTCCTGGAACTAGCTCTTGTAGACCAGGCTGATCTCGAACTCACAGAGATCCGCCTGCCTCTGCCTCCCAAGTGCTGGGATTAAAGGCGTGCGCCACCACCGCCCGGCCCCCCCACATTTTCTTTAACCACTCAGAAAGCAGTCTAATCTCTGGGCCCCACAAAGGTTAAACTCTCGTTTAAAAAAAAAAAAAAAGACAGGAGACAGAAACTTAGAGGTAAAGCCTTTCTGGCATTTAGAGCCATGGGCACATGCTAACACTGTTCTAGAGGCGATTCTTCAGTGTGCCACCAGCTAGTTCCAGTTGTGTGCCTTTGGGCTGGCTTCCTTTCTCTGGGTGACAAGGGAAAAGCTTTGGAGAAGAGGGAGAGGGTAGTGTTTAATTTGGGTTGTTAGTGCTCTGGGAGAGACGTGCTAAAACAAAATCTGAAGATCTTTTACAGACTTGGAGTCATGCTGCTCTCTCCAACACCCTTTTTAGAGACAGGGAGGATCTTGTCATGTAGCACAGGCTAACTCTGAGCTCATCATCCTCCTGCCTCTGCCTCTGAGTGTTCAAGTCATGCACCACCAAATTTACATATTCAGTTTGTTTCATCTATCTATCTATCTATCTTTCATCCTAGATTTGGCATGAAAATGTTTCTTATTTTAGTTTGTTTGTAAAATTAGCTCAAAAAATGAGAAACACAAAATTGTCAAACTAAGTTCAGGTTGACAATGACCTGGCCACAGAAAGGTAATGTACAGCCACCTCACAAATTCTTTGCATAGAGAAAAAACCATATGTTTTAGTAATCCACATGCTCCGTCACATTTTCAAATCAACAGTTAAGCTACTTAAGAACCTCTCCTTGATACTCCAAAACAGAACAAAAATCTGAGACTTAAAATGTAGCCAATTAACAGCCACTTTTATTTTTATTTAATTTTAGGGGTACTGAAGATCAGACCCAAGACAGCATACGTGCTAGGTGAAGCCTCTGCTCCTAAGCTACACACCCTAGGCAACTTTTATTTTTAAAAACAAAAACAAACAAAAACCACCAAGTAAAATATCAGGTGTATTGTCTAGATGATGAGCATGTTCCCTATTTGGTAGAAACTCCTGGGATACACTGGGACCCACTTATTCCACATGATTCCTTGGTGCCTGACACTTCTTGGCTCATAAAGGTTTTCAGAAAATAAAAGCAGAGCTTCAGTCAAGATATTTATTAAAGGCTACATAATTATGTTCACTATTATACTGGTAACACCCACTGTACATGAAAAGAATGGTGACCCCTTTGCCTGGGGCAGCATAGCTTCATTACACATGCCTCTAATAACAGTATAAGGAGGGCATAACCCAAAGGGATTGCTAGGTGCAGTTTGTGGCTTTGGTGGTTTCACATATTCTCATCTTAATGCCAACCACCTCTTCACCCAAGAGCACTTTAAACTTAATTTCCATTTTAATCTCCCACCTTACAACATCTTGGATGGCCAGAGGTTATAGCTTTTTTGCTGTTGTTGACAGACTTTAAACCACATTGGTGGCTATATCCATGACCACATCTAAGCAAGCACCTTTTTTCTTATTCATGATCAGCAAGTGATTCTGAGACTTTGAAGACTGGAAGTGGGACCCTAGCTATGGACCTTTATAGCTTAAATTAACATTTACTTCAAGCTGTTTGCTAACATTCTAAGGCTAGCACCTAGAAGTGTGGCTTTTAGAAGCCTAAAGGAAGTATTACCTACCCCAGTTGCCCAGCAGCTCCTGGAGAGTTCAGGTCAATGAGACCCCTGAACTATAAGGCCTATGTGGAATATTCCTTTACACTGAGTAAATATATGTCACTGTGATTGGTTTAATAAAAAAGCTGACTGGCCAATAGCTGGACAGGATAGGCTGGGCCAGAGAACCAGACTAAGGACACTGGGAAGAAGGATGGAGTCAGAGGAGTCACCAGCCAGACACAGAGGGGAAACAGGAGGTGCAAGATGAAAGAGAAGTAATGCCACATGGTGATGGAGGAAGGTCATTGGCTAATAAAGGAACTGCCCTGGCCCATTTTATTGGTTAGGACATAGGTAGGTGGAGTAAACAGAACAAAACGCTGGGAGGAAGAGGAAGTGAGGTCAGACTCCACAGCTCTGCTCTCCTCCTGGGAGCAGACGCCTGAGAGAGATGCCATGCTCCTGGCTCCTGGGCAGACGCACTCTATGAAGCTCCGACCCAGGATGGACTAGGCTAGAATCTTCCCGGTAAGACCGGTTCTCACAGATTATTAGAGATGGGTTGATCGGGATAACAGGATTAGCCAGTAAGGGCTAGGGCTAAAGGGCCAAGCAGTGATTAAAAGAAGACAGTGTCTGTGTAATTATTTCGGGGGATAAGCTAGCCGAGCAGGCGGCCGGGGTGCTGGGAACGCAGCCCCGCCGCCGCCCTTATTACTACAACATGGCAGATGTAGATGAACAGAAATGGGTTAAATTTAAGTTGTAAGAGCTAGTTAGTAATAAACACGAGCGATCAGCCAAAATTTATAATTAAGTCTCTGTGTCGGTTATTTGGGAACTGGTGGGAGAGAAAAGTCTGCCTTTAGGCCTAACAGTCCACCTGCGTCACAAACGTCCAGGACACTTTCAGCTAACTGCTACATCACACCACTTCGGGACAGTAGTGCGACACTCACACTATGGAATGCACTGTCCAAAGCGCAGTCCCAGTCGATCCCATGCAGGCGGCAGGTGGACCCCTTTCTAGCACCATCAGTGTTAAAAATAAAAAGGAAAAAAAAGGAAGGAAGGAGGGAAGGAGGGAAGGAAGGAAGGGAGGGAGAGAGGAAGGGAGGGAGGAAGAAAGGAAGGAAGAAAGAAAGAAAGGAAGAAAGAAAGAAAGAAAGAAAGAGTGATGTGGCATGCCCTTCCGTATGCTGTGAATATGTTTTATTATTATGACAGGGCAGAATATAGCTAGGCAGTAAACCCAAACAGATACAAGGAGAAAGAAGGCAGAGCCAGGGAGATGCCAACAGCCGCTGGAGAAACAAGATGTGAGGTAACAAACCACGAGCCTCGTGATAAAATATAGAATAGTAGAAACAGGTTAATTTAACTTATAAATTATATAAACTTATATAAATGGGTCCGAGCCATTGGTCAAACTTTTATAATTAATATAAACCTCAGAGTGTTTATTCAGGAACTGGCTAATGGGAAAGAAACTTCCAGTTACAAGGAAGAAAGGAAGGAAGAAAGGAAGGGAAGGAGGGAGGGAAGGAAGGAGAGAAAAAGGGAGGGAAGGAGGAAATGAATTAGCGCAGAATTTCTAGAACATGAAGGAGTCAACACACTAGGCTAAAAAAGAATTCTGTTTGGATGGTATGAGAGAAATACCTCAGCCAATTTCACAAGCAGCTTGGTGGGGATTCTTGTGACGGGCTGGACAGGCTCTGGAATGGGCCTCACCTAGATGACCCTGTGGACTGCTGGCCAGCATGGCAGTCAGGAAGGGCAAAGAAAACACAAACCGACACACTGATTTCCAACTGGCCTGCAAAGAGCCTGACCTTTGCCCTCTTCTGCTGCACACTAGCAATTACAGACACTAGAGGATGCCCTTCTCTACCTGGAGCCATCAGCTGGGGCCACATCTCAATAGACACTTTACTATATAGCAGAAGCAGCAGGCTGCCGCGACTATAGAAAAGATGAAGAAATGAAGGCAGGAGACATCTGCAGCTCGGCTCTGTGGACATGCACTTCTTAGAGGCAGGAGGAATGAACACAGGAGGGATGGGATGGTGCTGTCAAGTGTCCACTCTGGTTCTAAGCTGGTACCTGTGGCAGACAAGATCTCTGTTCCCAGTGCTAGCTGGGGTTCCCAGAGCTTCCTAGGAGGCCAAACCATGGTTGAGCCAACAGCAGGAACTGAGAAGCTTCTGGTCCCCTCAGGACATTTACCCACTTCAGGGCTAACTCAAGGTGGACAACACCTGGAGGGCAGCAGAGTGGAGTCACAGTTTGCCAAGCAGACATGGATCCAGA